CGTTTTCGTGCCCGTTTCTTTCTCCTGGTCCTTCTCGAGGGGCGGTGAGGAGAAATTCCGAGGACTGAGTGAAGAGGAGAAATTCCGAATTCCTGATGAGGGGATGGGCGGCTGCAGAAATTCCGAGGACTGAGTGAAGAGGAGGAGGAGGAGAAGGACCCAAAGAGGACAAGGACGACAATGCCGTTGAAGGTTGGTTCGGAGCAGGATGAGGATGGGCGACGGTCTGCAACGAGAGACCAACTGAATGTTTGCCACCTGTAGCTTTCGAGAAGGACCAGGAGAATACATAACGTACGAAGAGAACCCCCTCCTCCCTCCTCCGCTCCCCCTACCACAATCGGGGCGGCACCAGGTTCCCTCCCCCGATCAGGGCGCACCGGGCCGTGTTCGGGGCCTGACATCATCGGACCTCCCTTGTTTTCTGCTCCCGTGTGCATGGGCATCCAACCCATCCTCCCTCCTCATCCTTCTCCTCCTCTTCCTCCTCCTTCTCCTCCTCCTTCTCTTTCTCCTCCTCCGCCTCCGCGTGCTCCTCCTCCTCTTCCTCCTCCTCCTCCTCCTCCTCCTCCTCCTCCTCCTCCTCCTCCTCCTCCCCCGCCTCCGCGTCCTCCTCTTCCGCCTCCTCTTCCTCCTCCTCCTCCTCCTCCTCCTCCTCCTCCTCCTCCTCCTCCTCCTCCTCCTCCTCCTCCTCCTCCTCCCTCCTCCTCCTCCTCCTCCTCCTCCTCCTCCTCCTCCTCCTCCTCCTCCTCCTCCTCCTCCTCCTCCTCCTCCTCCTCCTCCTCCTCCTCCTCCTCCTCCTCCTCCTCATCCTCCTCCTCCACTCCTCCTCCTCCTCATTCCTCCTCCCCAGAGCCGTCTTGGCTCAAGTTCGCCGCGCCGCAGGCCCCTACAGCCGCGCGTCGTGGTGACGGGCTCTTCCCAAGGCTGCCCGCGCTGCGGCGCTGCGGGAGGCCGTGCGCGGCGCGGTGCTGGCGTGTGCACGCCGCCGCAGGGCTCGCTGGCAGCCGTGAGCTTCGCTTGCGTCGGGCGCGTCCCTCGACAGGAGGACAATTCAAAAATTGTCAAAGAGTAGTTTGTGAGCGATTTTTCGTTATTAGTTTAACCAGCGTCGGGTATTGTTTGAGTATTCTTTATTTGTCGTCGAAAATCGCCCTGTAGGGGGACATGCCCGACCTAAAGCTTCGCGAAGTGGCTCGTCTCGCTCGTGCAGCTGAAGGTCTACAGTCAACGCGCCTAGTAAGGACGCGCCTTCATCCAGGGTGCCCTTGTGTCCATGCCTTGGCGGCCCGTCCACTGCTGTTTTCATTGGTCGTCCGCCGCCCCAAAGCCTCAATGTCGGCCGCTCCATGGCCGTGGTGGCGTGGCGCGCACGGCGGTTGATGGTAAGCAGGACGTCGCACTTGGAGGTATAGACGTAGACATCGGGGCAGCGGGGGTTGTCGCTCCGAGGGCTGCTGCGATTGCCGTGCCGATGCTGGAGGGGGACAGCTGGGCCGATGATCTGCCGCTGGTGCAGCAGCGGAGCCGCCCGCCTGCCAGCACAGCTTCATGCGAGGGCAAGGGCAGGATCCCCGGCGAGGGCGACGGGAGCGGTGGCAGGGGCACGTTTGCAGGATTGGAGATCTAGGAGTTTATCACCAAGCACATTTCACAACTCGCAAATTTCCTACTCGCAAACGTTTGGAACAATCGGTGCTCCTCGATGTAATTGATCGGAAATCGCCCGCGGCGAATCCAGGCCTTTTGCAAGCAGTTACTTTTTGCGAGTAGTGGAACGGGCTTGTCCAGCTTCGGAAGTTCGTCTGCCGCTTGGCTGCGCGCGTGAGGCTGCCCATGGTGCTGGAGCAGATCCCCGTCGTCGTGAGGGGCTCCTCGCGCTGGCCTTAAGTCGGGCCTGTGTCTCTACAGGGGGAATCTTCCAAAATACTCAAAACATAGCCAGGGCACGAATTTTGCTTTTTCAACATTTCTGAACGTTTGTTGGGAATATGTTTTGACTTTCTATGTTTTTTCGACCAACATCGGCCTGTAGGGGGACACGCCCGACGCAACGCCGGCCTGCAGCTTGGAAGAGATACAGCCCACGCGCGGCGGTCTGGCACTCGGCGGCGCTCTGCGGCCATGGTCAGGTCGGGCCTGTCCCTCTACAGGAGGACAATTCAAAAGAAGTGTCTGTCCCTCGACATCGTCTGGGGACGATTGTTCTACGTCCTGCTTGACGGTAGGCAAAGTTCAAGAACTAAGCTTGTGGCGTTGCCTGTAGCGAGGAAATCTAGATCAGCGATCCGACTTAGATCTTAAAGCACAACTTCAGGCGATGCTAGCGCAGACTATTGTGAGAACAAGGCAAGCGTCCTCTTGCTCCTTTTCCTCCTCTCCATCACCGGCATGTGCTCAAGATACGTAGTACTCCCCTCTCGCCCCAGATCCTGTCTGAGCGGGGCCCCGCTTCTCCCTCGTCTTGCTTCTGGGCGCAGGGTCTCGAACACTGATGTTCTGGATCGCTCCCTCCACCGGGACGTTTCCGGCGTCTCAGAGCTCGAAATGTTCTCCCGCCGCAGCGCTGGCCCCGTTCCAGAGTCGGCGCTCTGCTCCCGTGCCTGCCCGCGCCGAGGCGCTCCCGACAGTGGCCCGAGTGTACACCTTAGGCGAGGCTTACGAAAACTTTAGTTTTCGGCCAGAGTCTCGATTATTCTTAACGTTTCAATGTAAGTCTTAAGTTTTTAATGGAAATGTTGGGTTTTTATTCAAGTTCTGAGTATGAATTTCTTAACCCATGATTTCTTAAGCATTTCGCCGAGTGTGGCCCGCGCCGAGGTGCTCCCGCCCCGGCGCGGGCCACATTGCCGGATGTCCGATTCCTTCCTCGTCGTTGTCGCCCCCCTATTCCTCCCCCCATCCCTCCCCCTCCTCCTCCTCCTCCTCCACTTCCTCCTCCTCCTCCTCCTCCTGCTCATCCTGCTCCTGCTCCTGCTGCTGCTCCTCCTCGGCCTCCTCAGCACCAGCCGTCCTCACATTCCTCGTCCTCCTGCGCCTCCGCGTGCTCCTCCGCCACCTCCTCCCTCGGTGTTGGCAAATTCCCCTCTCCGATTGTGCATCACGCGATGGAGTCACTGTGCGGACCCAAGTCCGCTGAGACATTCGTCGGCGGACAGTCAAAACACATCAGCGCAACGGACAGGGACGGGTGGGAGAGATAGGATTTCGTACGTGGCGCGCACGCTCACCTTGTCCTCCTCTCTCCTCACTCCTTGCCTTCTTCCCCTCTACCCCCCTCGTCCCTCCTCGTCCCTCCCCTCATCCCTCCCCTCGTCCCTCCCCTCATCTCTCCTCGTCCCTCCTCGTCCTCGTCCCTTCTCCTCGTCCCTTCCTTCCCCGTCCCTCCTCGTCCCTCCTCCTGGCCCTCCTCTGGCCCTCTATGCAGGATCCTCCAGGTCTTCAAGGAGGTGCCGCCGGAGTGCCGGCGGCCCCCCGGGAGCCTGGCCGAGTTCGTGCGCGCGCGCAGGACGGGGCCGGGGGTGGCCTGGGGGGAGGGGAGAGGGAGGAGAACGAGGATGAGAGAGCAGGAACAGGATAAGGGATGATGGCAAGGAGGGATGAGGAGGGGGGATAAAGAGCGCGGAGGGAAGATGAAGAGCGCGGAGTAGAGAGGAGAAGAACGAGGAGGAGGAAGGCCAGGAGAAGCGATCGGGATGAGAGATGAAGAGCGAGGAGGAGCGCGCAGTGTAACCCCCAAGACGCATCAACGATGATGCACTCAAGCCTCCCTCCAAGTTCCCTCTTCACAGGCCCCTACACGAATTTATGCTCACTGCGGGAAGTGCCCCATTGAAAAACAACCGTCTGATAACCCGCCGGACACTTACTTTGTGTTGATGCGGTCGTCCTTGGCGCTCGGAGGATGGGCAGCAGCAGAAGCCAACAGCAGCATGTCGCAGGCCGCAGGCTCAAAATTGCCGCACGTTCGCGTCCTTGTTCAGGCAACCGCTCATTGCACGAGTTGGCTTAATTCTTGCAGGTCGGCGCGAGTGGGGTTCCCGATTCTCGTGGTTGCCTTTTGGTTCGCACATCGGTAAAGGCCGATTCGTGCCAAGTTGGGTGGTCTCGCGCGTTCCCTCCCCCAAAACAAAGTCGCAGGCCCAAAAAGGCATGACATAACCAGAGCATCCAATGTGACGTGGGCCAACGTCTGCCCGGGCACTGCTGCCATCACAACGGACACACGTGCGCAAAGGTGTGACAGGAACAAGCTGGGACCGACCCGCTAGCGAAGGCGACCGCTGCGAGAGTGTTGACCGCCAAGACCTTCGGCCTAGGCACCGTTTCAATCCAGCTCGACGAGCATCGGTACATTGGCCCGAATCGAGCTCAGGGCATACGAACTTCGACCCTGCGCACTGTAACTAGGCCTTCGCTAAGGGCCACGCATGATCTTTGGGACTGTCGGGGTGATGGGGACTAGGAGACCGAAGGGGTACACATGACGGGGGGAGTCATCCTCACCACACATAGGCGCTGCAGCACACTTTTGAATTTCTGCTGATCCCAACTGTCTTGCATATCTTGGTGCTCGCCGACGCACGATGCTGCAGTACCAGGGCCCGACCTTGTTTTTATCGAGCGCTGCATTCCGAACAGTTTCTTTTATGTGATGGTTGCTACCAGTACCCCTTGTCCCAAGCAAGCCAATGTTTGTCCATCGTCAAAACATGGTGGTGATCAGGTGGAGGGGGGGAGAGACCAGGGGTAAGAAGAGGAGGAGGAGAAGTGTAGATGTTGTCGCGACTCCCAGCAGATTGCTCGTCGCAGCTGTGTCCAGCCAGGCCGTGTGTTTGAGAAGCGAACAGAAGCACTTGTACCAGCAGTCACGATGATGAAGGGACGCTGGCCCGGCCGTGCTGGCTGCCACCAGGAATAATCGAGGTTGGCAAGTCAAAGTGTATAAGCAGCGTCCCCCTCGAGCCTTTCCGTTCCGTTGCCGCCTGTGCTCAAGGCGGCCAGCCAGTGCTTTCTTTTCTTGTACTGATGTGGAGATTGGCGCCGCTGCGCCCGGTGGAAAAGGTGATTCTCCTTGTTGCTGCTGCGTGGCTGACGCCGATCCGCTCATTCGACCTTGGTAGCGGAGCCTCGGTCCATCGGCCGAGGCTTCACCGCGCGCTTCGCTGTTGGACGACAAGTTCCAGTTCGGTCATATCGACGCTGGAGCTGCCTCTTCTCCCTCCCGACCGCCGAGGACACAATTGTGAGGAGCAGAGCCCTGTCTGTGATAATTGTACTATGGCTTCGTATATGGCGGACTCCCTCACGTATGCTGACCAGGCTCAGATCATGGCCTCAATGAAAGTACCACCGGCATGGTCGCCAGAATGGAGTTCACGTTATCCGTTTCGACGATGGCTTAGAGATGTCACATTGTGGAGTATAGCGACGGAGATACCAGAATCTGCTCAGGGTGCTGCCGTGGTGCTGCGTCTCGGAGGCGCGGCGAGAGAGTTCGCTGATGAGTTGGACGCGCAGATTCTACAGCAAGGGCAGATACTGGACCTACAGGACGGTCTGGGTCCACGCCAGGTGACGGGTTTGGCAGTGCTGCTGCGGGCTTTGGCTCGCAACTATGCTCTTGAAGCTGGAGAGGACGCAATCAGGGCCATGGCTGAGATGATGGCGTTCTCAGTCCAGCAACACGAGACCATCGATGTGGCTCTGAACCGGTTCCAGGTGCTCAAGTCCCGTGCGATTGATCATGGATTGAATCCTGGACCTTCCGGCTGGGCCTGGATGCTTATGACGGGCCTGCGAGTACAACCAGACGAGTGGCTACACTTGCTTGGTATGTTCGACAACAGGCTGCCGCAAGATGAAGAAGAGTTCAGTCGCTTGATTCAAAGTATACGCCGTCGTGGTCATGTTCTTATGCAGGATGGCATCATGAGAGCCGCTGAGAGGGCAGTGCGCATTCCTGGTGCAACGGCCCATCCAGCGCACGCCGACTTCGGCAAAGGCCGACATTTTATGACAAAGGATGCCGTCCAGGGTTTCTTCCCGACGTTTGGAGAGATCAACCAGTGGGGAGGTTTCTTTCCCGCTTCAGCAGCACCGCCGGCGGCATCGTGGTCATCTGCAGGTGCGGCTGCTGCATCGCCTGGAGTCCAGAACGTGTATTTTGATGATGATAATGCTTCGACCAGTGGTACCGACTACTTCGATGAGGGCCCTCAGGACCTAGCCGCTTACCTTGCTGACGTAGACCCAGAGATGCATGGTGATGTTCTGCGTCATGAATATATCATGTCGAGACGACGTTGGAGGCAGTTCAGTGGACGACCCTCTCGATTCCATCGTCGCCATGGTCGCAAAGGTTCCAAGTATGGTGGCAAGAATCGTGGTCGGGGCTTGCTTGGCAAAGGTTTTCACTACGAACATGATCCGACCGCTGCTGTGGCAGCTTCCTCCGTGCCGAGTACTGCTCCAGGCTTCGTGGGCTCGGCATACCAGACAGGCAAGAAAGGAGGAAAGAGTTTTGGCGGGGGTGGAGGAGCTGGCACTGGCAAAGGCAATCCCCGTGATGCTCAGGGTAATGTGCTTCGTTGTCATGTGTGCAATAGCGACCAGCATCTCGCCAGAGAGTGCCCGCAGAAAGGAAAGGGCGCTCGCACCTTCGTCACTCACGAAGATGGTCGTGGCTACGACGGTGGCGGAGGCGGATGCGGCGGGGTCTCACCTGGCAGTGCTGGGGGAGGTTGGTTCGCTACGGCGGCTGACGTGCACAAGCAGTTGGCGCTGGAGGACGAGACGTTCGACGGCTGCGAGGACTGTTCGGATAACTGGCACGAATACGATGGGGATGATGACTGCTACGACAACGAAGGTCTGCCCGGGGGCAAGAACCGCAAGGGCAAGGGCAAACGAGACATAGGCAAGGGCCCCGATCGACAGCGTGGTGGATCTCAGGCTCAGACCATGCAGCTGAGCAGCATATTGAGTTCGAAGATGTACCAGCGCCAGATCCATGCTGACGAGGAGGCCGCCTTGATTGTCAAGCGTGCAGCTGCAGTGGCTGCGCCCAAGTCCTACATGCCGCCACCTCCTCACCAACCTCCAGAGTTGAGAGAAGTGGCGCCGATCGCACCTCCTCCTGCTCGTGATTCGTCAGTGCCGTTGGCGGCCAGTGCTGCAGCTGTCGTTTCGCCTTTCTTGCATAAGAATACGGGCAGACAAGGTTTGTTCTTCCCGACTCAGGAGCGCAGCCGTTCACTCACTCGACAGCGTCTTGGAGCCTGGCATGCTCGCACACGGTTGCCTGACGGCCGCGAGGCCTTGCTGGTGGACCCGGGGGCTCACGACAACTTGACTGGCAGTGAGTGGTTCAAGCGTGTTTCTGATATCTGGGCTCGCCGCGGTGTTGAGGTTGAGTTCAAGAAGATGGATAGGCCGATTGGAGTGGAGGGTGTTGGCAACAATGCTGATGCCTGTATCAATCGAGGTCGGGTTCCTCTTGCGCTTGCTGGTGGTGAAGAAGGTAGCTACGACGCTCCCATCGTGCCGAACTCTTCAGTGCCGGCTTTGCTGGGCAACAAGGCCTTGCGTCGCAATCGAGCCATTGTGGACTGCTTTAACGGAATCTTGTACTTCATCGGTCCTGGTGACCACCAGCTTCTGCTCCCCCCCGGCTCAAAGGAATATCAGCTGGAGCTTTCGCAGTCAGGTCATTGGATGCTTCCAGTGACGGAGTTTGAGGACCAGAATACCGGCCAGATCAGCGCGAGCTCCAGGTCTGCTGACAACGCTGGCCTGCATCTACTCCATTCATCCTCTTCCTGACGGGGCGGCAGCGTGACTTCGAGCGCCGTAGACTCGGCACGGCGTTCGGATCCAGGTCGCGCAGCTGAAGTATTGCCGAGCAGAACTGGTACTCTTCCGACCTTGAGTGCAGCTACCCTCGCCAGTGGGTTACCTCGTGCGCTCCCTCCTCATCCCAGTCCAACGGCTGCGGCCGAAGTTGCACAATACCAGGTTGGGTCTGCGGATGCGGTCCGCAGTGATGGCGAGCCTGCTGAGTCTGAGCTTTCAACCTCGACTTTGGCGGCCTGGCCACGAAGTGTTCCTGGAGTCCGTGAGCTTCCATCCTCCGGTACTTCGGCACAGCCTTCGACGCTGCCTGCATCACCTCTGGGTGTCACGTGTGGTCCTGACGTCGCCTGTCCTGTGGTCCAAGCACCTCCGTCGGCTTCGTTGGCATTTCAGTCTCGTGCACCTGTTGAGCATGGACCTCATCCTTTGGAGGTTCCCAATTCGAGTGCTGACTTGGCGCCCTTGCCGTCTGATGAGAATTTGGTATCCCATTTTGGTGTGCCTTCTGTCGTCACCTTGATGTTCGTCGACGATTCTGACGATCTGGTGCGGCAGCATACTTTGCATGAGAAGCTGGCTGCTGCTGGTATCGTGTCTACGGCAATGGCTTTAAGATCTAAGGAGATGCTGACCACCGCCGCCATGGACCGAGCCAGCAAGACACTACGTGAACGGCGCCCTGCCTTGCTGTGGGTGACACCCAAGGGTGCAGCGCTGGGCGGCCCTACTCGACATGATCGCCGGCGGAGCTATGCGGTGGCGTCCTTGGTCCAATGGCAGCTGAACGCCGAACGCCCGGTCATAGTCGAAGCCAGTGCAGCATCTTCTGTCTGGGAAGTTGGTGGCTGGGAGCAGATGTGCAACGATTGCCGCCTCAGCCGTCACACTGTCAGGTGGTGCCGATGTGGTATCACGAATTCTGCCTCTGGATTGCCAAGCCGTCGGGTTTCGAAGCTGCTATCCAATCTTGTCCTGTGTGCAGACTACGACACCTGCAACTGTCCTCAACATCATCACCCGCAGAATGGTCAATGCGAAGAGGTACGACATGAGCTGCGACAGTTTGTTCAGGTGATATCGGAGTTTGTGTTGAAGCCGATAGTGGGACTCAGTGGACGACCCCTGGAGACGGTGCCAGAGTCTGTTGCAGCAACTAGTGGTGCTAAGGTCCGGCAGCACTACCCGACGGAGGCTCGCATCAAGCAGAAGCAGCGTGAGGCTGAATTCGGTAAGAAGACTCTTCCCAAGAAGATGGACGACTACGAGAAGCACTGGGATGATTGTGGCGATGATCTCAGTTCAATTTTAGTGGATGGTCCAGATTTGTGGTGTGATGACTACAGCTATGATGTGTATCGCGTTGCCTGTGTTGACGATGAGGAAGTCGACTTGCAGGCCCTGGAGCATGACGAGGAGGATCTCACCGTGCTTCGTCCTGACGGCATATTTCTCCTCGGCCAAGGTCCTGAACATCAGCCCTGGAGGTTTGTGGATTGTGCAGAGCAGGTCTACTACTACGACGATCTGAAGGCGTTGTATTTGGACTGGGGGCTGCCTGCAGATGAGCACTACTACTGTGACGTGTTGGAGATCTGCGGAGGCCAGGAGCGTACCACTCAGATCCTGGTTCGACGGTTGCATCGTGAAGGCTTCCAACGAGGACCATCGTGTGATCTACGCTGTGGTGTTGATCTCAGTCGCCGCTTTGATCTGCAATGGATATGGCAATATGTTACGCATTGCCAGCCTGTGGTTATTGTGCTTTCCACGCCGTGCACCGGCATGAGGGGCTGGCACCATCTCAACAGAGTTCTGAATCCGAGCACTTGGGAGGCCAGTCGTGCCAGGGCTTCTTATCTTGGATCGTGTGGTGCTGAGTTTGCCGGTCATCAACTTGCAGTGGGTAATCACTTTCTTAATGAGCAGCCTCTGGGCTCCGATGTCTACGAGCTCGAAGGTTGGCTTTCGCTGCGTGCTGACACTCGGGTGGTGTCGGCCGTATTCCATCAGTGTCAGGTGGGTCTGGTGGAGGAGAAGTCACGGCTGCCAGTGAAGAAGGCTACCGAACTGATGGCCAGTGACGAACGACTTGTTCGACGCTTTCGCCGACTACTTTGCCGGGGCCACCGAGCCTGTCAACAACATGCGCATGCTGAGGGAAGTCATGTGACGCGCAAGTTGCAGGTGTGGCCGTGGCGCATGGCTTCACTCATCGCCGATGGCATTGCTGACGTCCTTCGAGAGCGTTGGAGATCCAAGCCGCCTCGAGTGCACTGGATGAAATTCTCCACCGACGAGCGTGATGCGGAAGAGATCGGCCGTTTCCTCAGGAAGTGCAAGACAGGTCATCGTAGGTCCGTAAGGGACTCCGACTGTGCGCCGATGTTGTGCTCCACCAGTGTCTATCGTCACGTTCGCTACGGTAAGGGCACTGTCTCTCTCGCCAAGCAGTTGCTGAGTCGGATGGAGAGTTCAGTATGTGGGCGCGAACGTCCAGAAGAGCGCCGACGACGAGCGAGAGCACCGAGATACAGTATTTTGGCTTTTCCGCTGAGGAACATCACGTGTGCTGCTTGTCTGGGCAGAGCTTCCCAGCATGACCCACGCCATACTCGTGATGATGCCTGTCGGTATCCCCATGTTGCGTCCATGGGCACCGAGTGTCCAGGATGCCTTGCGGGAGCAGTTCGGTCAGACGCTCGACACCTTGATGATCCTCGATGTCGCTGGAAGTGGGTGGAGACGCGGGGTAGCGCAGTTGCCCGAGCGCTTGCTGGCCCATCTGCGGCGGCTCCGAGAGGCAGGCCTGCTTCTGGTGTTGCACCTGCTCGAGCCGCTGGAGCACGCGTACCCGCTCATCGCGACTCCACCGCTGACGATCCTGGTGGTGGCGACTTGTCGCCTCTGGAGGCTGCTGCTGCGGCAGCCTCGTCATCTTCAGCGTCTGCCTCAGCGCCTGTCGTGCCCGTGCCAGCGACCCCAGCACCTGATGCGGTACCAGAGGTGGCAGCTGCACCGCCGCCGCCACCGCCGCCTGCCCGACCTCCAGGAGTGGATGCTGCGGTGGGAGCAGATCCGCCGTTGGATGATCCTACCAGAGTGCAGCCACCTGCTGCTCAACGTAGAGCTCGTGCAGCCAGGTCAGAGGTTGGAGTTCAGGCGAATGCCGAAGGGGCTGATTGGTCTGACTGGTCCATGGGGAGAGCGATGAAGCTGCTGCATAGCAAGAACAACATGGTCATCAGAAGGACTTTGCGCAAGCTGCATATCAGAATGTGGCATGCGCCGGCGCTGCGTCTCAAGGAGATGCTCATTGCAGCTGGAGCGCCTCAAGAGGCGATCGACTTGATTCAGATTGTGTGTGATACGTGTCCGGCCTGCCGTGCTTGGCATCGGCCAGGCAAACGGCCTATAGCCACCAGCAGGGTGATCACTGACTTCAACCAGGACGTGCAGATCGACCTGCTATTCTGGAAGACGAAGATTGTGATGCACATGTTGGACACCCTGGTGCGTTTCTCGGTCGCGGCCATCATCCCAGATCGCAACACGGGCACCATCATCGGTGCCGTCACGCATTATTGGTTCAGGCTGTTCGGAGCCCCGGCTGTACTCACCTCTGATCGCGAAGGGGCCCTCGACAGCGACGAAGCCAGATCCTGGGCCTCGCGCTGGCAGTGCAAGCTGAACCTGCGGCCGAGAGGAGCTCACGCTCGCATGGTAGAACGGCATCATGAGTTGTTGCGCCATCAGTTACATCTGGTTGATGAGCAGTGTACCCGTGATGGCACGCCTGTTCCCGACGAAGCCATCCTGGATGAGTGTGTGCTGGCCAAGAATTGTATGATCTCTATTTCTGGCAACATCACGCCCTATAAGGTTGTGTTCGGTCGCACGATTCCGATGCTCACAGATTTAGAACCAGCTTCTGCCACGGCGCTGGAGGACCAGGACGACGGCATCGACGGGATATCTCGCCATATACATCGGCTGCGTGAGGTAGCTATCGCGGCGGTAGTTGGGGCTTCCGCGCAGCAACGAATGGATCGTGCACTCCAGTCTCGCACTCGCCCGGCTGGTGAGTGTCAAAACTTGCAGCTGGGCGACTTGGTCGACATCTGGCGCGACCCGCCCAACAAGGATGTTTCGGGCTGGCGAGGCCCAGCTACCGTGGTGAACGTCAATCGCATACAGGAAGGCGTGGTTGACGTGCAGTGGCAGTCGCGGACGCTCAGTTGCAGATTGGCTGATGTACGACACTCTCTCAGTATGGATGTGATGGTGGCCACAGAGCACTACCGGCAGTACTGGGAGTTGCCATTGACTTTGGTGCAGGAGTTCGCCGAGAGCATTGAGAAGGGATCAGTGACTTTGGCGTGTGTGAACACTTCGACGGGTTGGAAGTTGTCTAGACACTGTGCCAAGTATCCCATCATTTTTCACGCGATGCTGCACGTTGCGTCGTGTGATCTCAGACTGCAAGGCTGTAGCGGTGGCCGTCTGGGTCACGGTGCCAAGGATCTCGAGTGCATGCCTGGTGTCGACGAGACGCTGTTTATCTTCTGGAAGGCAGGTCATCCGCTCGATTGGCATTGGCAACAAGTTCTTGGCACAGTGAGGATTTCCCTTCCGACGTTGTTCGGAGACGAGTGGCAAGACACGGTTTTCTTGCAGTTCTTTATTGTTGCCTTGGAGGACATCGAGCTTGCTCGGCAGGCTGTCCCTGATGTGCCACATCTTGGCCGTATGTATGAGCAGGTCGACCCAGACGAGGGCAAGTTCCCACCGGGCACTCGTCTTCCAAGAGTTAGTCGACCCAGGAGCGAAGACGAGAACGACGAGCAGCTTAGCAAGTCCCGCCGCAGGGACGAATCTCAGGTCATTGTGTTGCCTGGGGACCTCAAGAGACAGCTCTCAATTGGGTCGGATGCGAGTGGGAATCCTCGCCCTCATGTTGCTCCTTGTCTGCCTCATGCTCCTGAGGAGCCTCCTGATGCAGTTGACGTGCCTGTACCAGACAGTGATATGGACACAGATATCGATGATGAAGATCTGTTCTGGGGTTTTGTCTTCATGGAGAAAGCTTCTCCGTCCGCAGCTCACGTATATTTTGGCGGCCAAATTCCAGCTGTTGAGCTCACGTCCGAAGACATCGAGGGGCCTATCAGCATTGAGTTCTCTCGGAGACAAGCCTGGCGGCTGGGGCTCGCTCCGGACAAGATCGCCAAGGGTCAAGTATTGGTGATGAATATATTCAAAACCCAGGCTTCGCCAGTCATCGAGCGTGATCTTAACAACCTGTCTGCGGCAGAGATCAGGCAACATCATGATCTGGTGGTTGCAGCAAAGTTGAAGGAGCTGAAGCGTTGGGTTTCTCGTGGCGTCGTAGAGCGTATGCCCAAGAAGGATGCTGATAATCGAATCGACTCTCGCTGGGTCATCAAGTGGAAGATCATCGAGGGCAGCCGCGACGTGAAGGGGCGCTTGACCGTGCGTGGCTTCAAAGATCAGCAGAAGAACGAGAAGGATCGCATGAGGACCGCCGCGGGCACTGCCTCCCGTTGGGGGCAGAGGGTGATATGCTCCATCGCGGCTCAGCATGGCTGGACTCTATGGTCGCTCGACGTCTCGATGGCGTTCTTGCGTGGCAAGACGTTCGAGGAGCTAGCTGAAAGGTTCGGTTTCAAGATGAGGAGCTTACAGTTTGATCTTCCCCCTGATGGTGCAGCTCTGCTGAAGCAGATTGAGGGTTTCGAGGACTTCAATGAGGTTACGGAAACCCTGAACATGAAGAAGCCAGGTTTCGGTACGAATGACGCTCCGTGGGCCTGGCAAGTAGACTTGTCGGACACGCTCAGGGAGTTGGGTTTCTTCCCAACCGAAGCTGACCGGCAGTTGTGGTTGATGTTTGACAATGCATTGCTGGTCGCAGTTCTTGGTACGCATGTGGATGACTTGAAAGGTGCTTGCAGTGATGAGACGCGTGAGTGGATATTCGCCAAATTTCGTGAGAAGTACGAAGACGTGACGGTGAATCTGGCTCCGTTCGAATGTGTAGGCATTCAACATTCTCAGGATGAGGTGAGCAAAGCCATCACGATTGACCAGAATCACTACGTCTCCCAACTTCGTCCGATCAGCAGCGCGCTACTTACTGGCAAGTCGGATGAAGAATTGGTGGATTGTACGCTGCAGGGCCTGTACTGGAGTCTTCTTGGAGGAGTAGCGTGGCTCACCCTCACGCGTGCTGATATCGCTGTATTCGTCGGTCGTTTTCAGAGGCACAGCCAGAAAGTCACGGTTGGTGATATCAAAGGTCTCAATACTCTTCTGAAGTGGATCAAGAGGAAGCCTTTCAGCATCAAGTATGCGCGGTTGGAACCGCCTCTGTGTCTCTGTGTGATAGCAGACTCTGCGTATCGTGCTGATGATGCTGACTGTCTAGCTGTTCGTGCTGCCATCTTAGTACTCATTGAGCTTCGAGATGGTATTCCTGGTGGACTAATGCATGTCATTGATTACTATAGTCGGAAGCAGCCGAGAGTCACTCGCAGTACGTTTGGGGCCGAGTTGACCAACCAGTTGGAGGCTTGTGAGCTCGGCATGCTGCACCGCGGTTTCTGGCATCAAGTTCTGACGGGGTCCCGTGGTGCGAAGGAGTTGCATGATGCGGTGAACTCGAATAAGATAGATATGAGTCTGTATTTAGTTGGTGACGCTCACGCCGCGTTTGCTGCTATCACTGCTGAGGAGATTGCTATGCCCAACGATCGCAGTCAACTGTATGCTGTACGAGCCATGCGTGATCGACTTGACTGTGGCTCGTTAACTGGATTGCTGCGTTGTGATACGAGAGATATGCTGTGTGATGCTCTTACCAAGGGGGCAGTTGCTCGAGGTGCTATTGTTGATGCGTTCGGCACTGGACAGTGGCGGATGATGATCAAGGACCAGGTTCATATCTGGCCGAATGTTTCGTCTGCTGCTTCATTTACCACTGTGCGTTGTTGATGAGGGATTTCTTTGTCATAGTTATCTTTTGTGAGCCTAGCCGCGTGGACACATGTGCGGTGGGCTTCACGGTGAGTGCTGCAGTGCGCTGTTGCCTGTGTAGGCTCGTCAGCTTGCCTCTTCGAGGTCGGCTGAAGTCTGTGTGGTCCAGCCTGGACCACTAAGTTGATTTTTGGGGTGATGCTGTGATTGCTCGTGGACGACCGCTCTGGTATCACGTCTGCGAGCATGGTGCTTCTCCGACGATACTTGCGAGTTGGAGATGGTGCCAGAGTCAAAGTGTATAAGCAGCGTCCCCCTCGAGCCTTTCCGTTCCGTTGCCGCCTGTGCTCAAGGCGGCCAGCCAGTGCTTTCTTTTCTTGTACTGATGTGGAGATTGGCGCCGCTGCGCCCGGTGGAAAAGGTGATTCTCCTTGTTGTTGCTGCGTGGCTGACGCCGATCCGCTCATTCGACCTGGCACAGCCGTGCCTGCAATCGCTTCGTTCTAGAGGGTTGAAAAAGGTACGTCCCCTCCGTACACTCTCCTTTTTTAATCCTACGTTGCCTCTTGTGCTTTCTTCAGCTCCTTAGCCATGTTTCATTCCCTCTCCCCCTCTTGCGTCCCCATCCACCCCCTTTCCATCCTCATATGTAAAGCCCCCTTCGCATTGTTACCCCCTTGCCTGTCCTCCCCATCATCCAAGCGTTTCACTTGGGTGCACAAAGGTGTGTCTTTCGAGATGCCCCCTTCTACACGTATAACCGATGCTTATGCCTGAAACGAATGCGCGCGGCATTGAGGCGACAGCCGCGTCTCAAACATCGGTAGGCCTTGCATTATCAAGTTTTCAGTTTCGGGCTCGTAAGTGGGACGGAAGTCTCAAGCGAAACGCCCTGTCTTGCCGACGGACACGCCTGGTGGTGCCGCAGGGGGCAGTTGTCTGTAAGGGAGAAGGGTCGAAGAGAAGGTGGAAGGAGGAACATCGAGGAACGAGGCTTCTGAAATGCTAGATTAGCAGCCTCTTTTTTTGCGTGCCTGGAAGGGGAAGAGTCCAGGAAGGGTTGACGGCCTTGACGCAGAATCATCGTTGTCGTCCGACACGTCATCATCTTGCTCCTTCTCCTCCCACGCTGTCGTGTTTGCCGCGTCAGTTGCTAATGCTGCCCGGGTGTCGGAGATGTTCGATCCCTCCTCCCCCTTCCACACTTGTCGGTGTCGCGTGTGCTTCTTCCCCCCAGGAGTTTTCCAGTCAGGCTCTGCAGTGTGAGGAGGGGGAGGCGAGGAGGGAAATGAGGAGGAGGAACAGGAGGTGAGGTGGGGACGGAAGAGGAGGATAGTGATGATGATGGTGATCATGATGGACAGGAGGGCGGAGGTGCCCGCAAGTTTCTGGAGCCCGTGGACTGGAGCCCACCAGCCCTTGGAGGAGCCCAGGCTGAGCCCTCCAGAGCTCTGCAGAGGTTACTGGAGGCCTGACAGGGGATCACGCACGTCCCCGCACCTCGGTCCTCCATCCTCGAGAGGGGGGAGATGACGAGGAGGAGGAGGAGGAAAAGGGGAGCGCGTGAGGGTTGATGGGCCGAACCGTGGTGGATGAGGGGCAGTTCGGAGAGACGGAAGGAGGATGAGGAGTAATACAAAGACGTGTGCGCACATGACTTCACATTGGTTTTAAGAGAGCGGAGTGGGAGAGGGAGGACGGGACGGGACGATATTGCATGTGGAGGGCGGTGGGAAGGAAGCCAATTAGAGGAGGATAGAGCAGGAAGCCACACGCGATTGTGATGAGGAGGAGGAAGGGCGGGAGGAGGAGGAGGGGGAGGGAGCAGAGCAAGCCCCATCTGCATCAACGGTGTTGCAATACCCCCTCATCCCATGTTACCCCGCCATCAGTCCGCATTGAATGGCGCCCCCCTTGAACACCCCCCTTAAACGACGAGCGTCCCAAGGGTCTGCAAGTTAGGCGGGAGCTCCGTTATGCCAGACATACTGATCCGTGTTTCTCGTTGTACGGTATGCGCAATAGTGGGGTCAAAACGTTTCAGGGTGCACAGCGTCATCTCCGCTTTGGCAAGGATGCGCTCTCCACGCGTGTAGCTGCAGCACAATTTACAGCAGATTATCATAACACCTAGCGTGTTTTGAAACAGTATTGGTCGCCATGTTGTTCAGACGGCAGCTCCAGTTCGAGGCGGAGCCGTGCTTGTTGGATGTGTTCTAGACGAGCGCGCGCGGTGCCAAAGCGAACGTTCTGCCCTGGAAACGGCCCGCACTCCATCCGTGCAGCCGCTGGAAGTTTCGAGGCGGAGGGGAGCGAGGAGTTGGAGGAAGAGGACAAGGAGGAGGAGGAGGTAGAAGCAAGAGAGGCAAGGATACAGAGAGAGAGAGGCAGCTGTATATATATGTATATATTATAGAATATTATATATAGAGAGAAGGAGAAAGAGCGAGCGAGACATACACACTCACGATAGACAGAGCGAGAGAGATGACACGAGAGAGAGATTGGGGGGGAGAGAGCGAGAGAGAGAGAGAGACACACACACACAAACAAACCAAGACCAGACACACATCACACACAACATAGATAATGTATCAAGCAGAGGGGGGCGGGGCGAGGGAGGAGGAGGAGGAGGAGGAGGAGGAGGAGGAGGAGGAGGGGAGGTCGGAGGAACGGGTGGAAGAGGGAAACGGATTGGGAGGTAGCCTATGCGGAGGAGGAGGAGGAGGAGGAGGATCTGGAGAACGGGGTGGCGCTCGTGGTGCCAAATTCTGAAGATGGCGCGTCCTCCATCCGTGCAGCTGTTGGAAGTTTGAGAGAGGAGGGTGGACAATGTGGTGATAATGAGGATGAGGAAAACGAGGAAGAGAGATCGAGAGAGAGAGAGAGAGAGAGAAAGAGCCATTTATATAATACATACGTGCATATGTGCGAAAGAGCGTGTTCTACCGCTGCTGGCGGAAAACCGGGGGGGGCACTACCGGTTCGAACCCCTCCCCCCCCCCCCTCCGGAAAACCGAAGGGGGTCATTACCGGTTCGAACCCCTCCCCCCCCCCCCCCAGTTCATCATGAAAAGGGGGGGGGTCACTGCCGGTTCGAACCCCCCCCCCTCGAGCTCGAAAACCGAAGGTGGTCATTACCGGTTCGAACCCCCCCCCCCCCTCGAAAACCGAGGGGGGGTGCGGACAGTGGTGGGGACGGTGGTGGTGGGGACAGTGGTGAGGGGACAGCGGGACAGTGGTGGGGACAGTGGGACAGTGGTGGGGACGGTAGTGGTGGGGACAGTGGTGAGGACAATGGTGGGGACAGTGGGACAGTGGTGGGGACGGTGGTGGTGGGGACAGTGGTGTGGGGACAGTGGGAATGTGGTGGAAACAGTAGGACAGTGGAGGGTACAGTGGTGGTGGGGACAGTGGTGAAGGCGGTGGCGAGGACGGCGGTGGGACAATGGGACAGAGGTACAGTGGGGACAGTGGTAGGGACAGTGGGGACAGTGGTGGGAACAGTGGGACAGCTCAGTGGTTCGAACCGGTAGTGACCCCCCCCTCCGGTTTTCGAGGAGGGGGGGGGGTTCGAACCGGTAGTGACCCCCCCCGGTTTTCGAGCTCGAGGGGAGAGGGGGGGGGGGTTAGGGGGGGAAGGGGGGGGGGGGGAAGGGGGGGGGGGGAGGGGTTCCAGCAAGGGGGGGGATTTCGGAGGGGGGGGGGGCGAACAAAAAAAAAAAACAAAAAAAAAAAACGAAAAATAAAAAAAAACAAAAAAAAAACAACAAAACAGAAAAAAAAAAAACAAAAAAAAAAAAAAACAAAACAAAAACAAAAAAAAAAAAAAAAAAAAAAAATAAACAAAAAAAAAAAAGAAAAGAAAAAAAAAACAAACAAAACCAAAAAAACAAAAAACAAACAAAAAAAACCACAAAACTAAAAAACAAAAGACCCCCGGGTTCCGGAGGAAAAGTGCGGCAATTTTTCTCAGTAAAGCGGCGGTAGATCACGCTCTCTCATATGTGCGAGGACATGGTATATTCTGTATGTGTATGTGTATGTATGAATGTGTACATGTACAGTGCGTATGCTCGTATGGACCTGCGTAAACTTAGAATACATCACGAGGAGAATGGGGCAGAGGAGAGGGAGGGGGCGGAGGAAGAGATGGAGGAAGGAAGAAGACGACGAGGTATAACAAGGAACTGGACAAGGAGGAAGAGGTGTTGGAAGAGGAGGAGAAGGAGGACGAGGGAACTCGAGAGGGGAAGGGCGCCGGGCAGGAGGCCGCGCAACGTCACTGCGGGCGGCGTGCGGCATGTTCTGGAACCGCGGCTGGCCTTGTCCAGAGCACGCGGCGAGCGCGCAGCGGAAAACAATACTTTCCCAGGGGGCGATGGGTTCTTGGAGCAGGAGGAGGTGGAGGAGGAGGCCATGGAGGGCCGTCACGCGGCACGGCACTGGGCGGTGATTCTGATTCTGATACAAGGGAAGGAGAGAGAGCAGGAGAGAGAGACGGAGAGAGAGAGAGAGAGAGAGAAAGAGAGAGTGTGTGAGACAGGCAGAGAGAACATGAGAGAAGTATGTTTGGATATGGAGGGATGGGAAGGGATGGAGGGATGGGGCGGCGGGCAAGGGGCAGGACGAGGAAGTGGCGGAGGTAGAGGAGGAGGAGGAGGCCTGGGAGGGCCGTCACGCAACAACGGGCCTCAGGCGAAATAAGGGAAGGCGGCGGGAAAAAAGGGACATTGCCCCAGGAAAACACCCTGCGAGATAGAGGCAGGTAAAGGAGTAGGAGAAGCACGGCTATGGTTTTATGTACCTTGATTTGAATCGTGTTCGCCAGCGCGGACCCAAAACAGCATGTTTCTACAATATTGTGCACCATATGTGGGGAAAGGTCTATATTGCAGTCCATGTTGTGCAAATGTTGACCAATCTCTGCGGGGCAGTATACGTGGTGCAAACTATGTGGTGGAATTCACTTTGACTGTCTTGAAGCTGTCCTCTCCGCTGCTCGTACCCGCAACTTGGTCGCAAGACCTCATGAGACCGTGACGGTAGGGGCCAACTTGCACTTGGCAGCGACACCGACGCCGACGACGACAGCGACAACGACGACGACGACGCCGACGACGATTACGGCGACACCGACGGCGACTCCGACG